GCCGGGACGGCCGGCTGACTCCTCCCCTCGTGTATAAAAGTTGTTTAATTGAGGGACTAGAGAAAAGAAGAATAACATACTGTACTCACTGCTTAACTGTGTTTCTAGATCACGCTCATTTCAGGTAAATTTACATGCAGTGTGAAGATACCAGCATAATAAAGATCGCTAGCATTAGCATGCTAACACAACAATGCAGCGCGAGTTGTTTTGGTTTCATGCTGGTGCTCAAGGGCGACATCTGCTGGATCAAAAAATCACATATAAAGCCTTTAATGATAACAAAAGTTGAAAATACTCCTTTAAAACTTCCACCTGACCCGTCAGTCAGAACATGATTGAGAGAATATGGTATTTATTTAAGGGCTGGCGTCTTTAAAGGCATATAAAGCCTTTAAGCAGCTAGAAACAGGTGATTGCAGATTGTAGCTCGCTCTCTCTCTCATTGACTGTCCCTACCCTTCCTTTAAAAAATACAAAAGCAAGATGGCTAAGAAACCGAACTAAGACCTACACACACCCATACAAGATGAACAGCGCTAAGAGACCTAAGTGAAACATATATATAATAATAAATCTTAAGGCCAAGACTCCCGTTTGCCCATGCGGTGATCCACCTATGCATAGAAACTATTCTCCAAATGGTATTTCTTTTTTTAAGTCAATGTCACAGATGGTCTCGACTCCAGGTCGGTAATTTAACATATTAAAGAGCCGATATACAAAATATTCTTACAAGCACCTTTTAAAGCTCTGTAATCAACACAGTAGATCGTGGCAGTTGTAAAACGTGAAGTGTAAAAACAAGCAATTAAAAAAGGTGAAATTACACACTGCAGGCCTACTGCGCTGACTTCATATGAGTTAGTGTGAACAGCAGTTATAAAAGATTCTTATACCAACCTCCTTTGGAACATTTCTCTGGAACTAAAAGCTTTTGGGCTGCACAACACAACCTTGGCATGCACACCTAATGCTGTCGTCTTGCAGCTGCAGACACAACAACAACAACAGCAACACAAAATAAAAGGCATTTCATGATAGAAATATGTGAAAAACTGAAAAGAAGAAGTCTAGTTATTGCAGAGGAATTCCTGTCGGGGCCTGATTATGCTGTGGCAACATTTGCTTCATCTCTAAAGTATGACAGGCAGGTCTGCAGCCGACGTGAATGTACACTTTTACGGCGTTCGTTCAATCACTTGTGCATACATTTTGTGCAGTTGGATCACGGGCCAATCCTCTGCAAAGACAGCTGACGAAGAGATTAGAGCAGATATGAAGCAGCGTGGAGAAGTGTCTCTTCCTGCTTTCCCCGTCTGTTTGGTGGAGATTTTCTTCCCTCCTTTGTGTCATCTTTAAACCTCCATCCTTCACTCTCATCATCACGTTGCTCTGAGAGACTCATCACAATAACCACAGACCATTATGCTTTATGCCCTCCTAAAAAAAAAAAAAGAAAAAGGCAGCCGCTCAACTGTTCCAGCCCAACATGGCTGCCTGTCGCCGCATGCCAACACCGCGGTGCCCTTTTCTTCCAATTTGGCCCCCGTCCAGCTCTCCACTTTGATTGCGCCCCCGCCCCCCCCCCCTGTTAGGGCCTTGGGTTTGGAAGGAGAGAGATAGAGCGAGCGAGGCGAAGAGTGCCAACACAAACATTGTTCTGCCGGCTTTTTACAAGCCAGGAGAGTGAGGAAGTTAATAAGCAGGTATTGGTTTTTAACTGCGGCCCCGTTTATTGCTTTGCCCTCGAGCGTGCTGGAGTGCTCTCCTCCACCTTTTTACCGTCCATCTGCCCGTCAACTCCGCTAAACTCGCCTTCAATTTCTCTACACTCTCTCTCTGTCAGCTCTCCTTTTGTCTTGCATCGCCTCGTTCAGCAATTATTTCACCATCATCACCGTCATCCTTTTCATCCCCCTTTCCCCTGGCTGACTCCACATTTTTAATTCCATGCAAAAGGTGGAGTCAGATTTTATAAACAGAGCCCACTTAATAATCCGTCATTATGCCACTATTGATTCAGTGTTTTGCTGGAGTGTTGGAGAGTGAGCTACATTTATTGGTCCTGTATATTAGGGTTTTAAACCACACCCGTCAGTCAATACTGGACTTTTATTAAAAAATCCGATCTCAGCCGCTCGGCGTCATCCGACTCCCAACATGATGAATACGATGCAGGTTTAATCACACTCATGTTACGTTGTTGATCAATGTCGTCTGTGTTTAATGGACATTTTTTAATTTCCACAGCTCCAGGAAGCTTTTCTGCACGGCCAAGGATCTAAATGTTTTCAGAGGCAATCTCCAAAGAGGAGAACTCCCATGATTCCCCGCCAGCCTCAGCGTCATCTTTTGTTATTGTAGTCTGTAGAGCCCCCTGGTGGCGGAATCTACATATTGTATCTGTAAGAGGCTGCACCTAATTATTTAGATCCAGAATACGTTCAAAAACACCAGAACTTTTCCTCAATAACAGGCCTTCTCCGATTAGATGCCTTTGTGAGATTTATAGTTATGTTACATATCAAAGCATTTAGACGTTTTTAGTTCTTCACATTTAAAAAGCAGTTTATCTTCATTTTGTCCTCTTTTCACTTTTTCACCAAACTTGTGTCATCGACATCGACTACAAAACAAATATGTTGCAGTTGGACTTCAAAAAAGCCCCAAAAAAACATAAAAGCAGGCCGAGATGCTGCAGGAGAAAGAAGCTAGCAAAGAGGAGGATGACCACAGGGAAGGAGGGGGATGTTGTGGTGTAGAAGAAGGGGATTTCATGTTCCTGTAATCCTGAAAGTGCTGCAGTTTGTGTCCTCCCCCAGGGCTGTTTTCACACCTCCAACAAGGGATAAGTAGTGAGTGTCTCTCGCAGCGCAGGAGAACAGAGCGCGTTTAACATTCTTATTCCGCGAGCAATTAACACGGTGACTCTGTGCGAAAAACAACAAGCCTCACTCCCGACAATCAGGGGAACCTGAGCACAAATCCCGGCTAGCTCTTGAGGGATTCGCAGCATCCGCCTTGTCTTACCCCCGGGAGGGTGGGGGGGGGCCTATCCGCTGATCCAACTGACAGAAGCGAGTGAGTACAGGCGCTCAATTGATGAGATTCCAGTTAGCCGGTGCAGCCAAGAAGAGCGAGGCGGGGGGGGGGCGGGGGGGGCGCAGCCAATAGCCCGAGCAGAAGGGATCTGGGGGCTTCTAAATATCCACCCAGGGCTAAAAGAGTGAGAGTGCAAGCAAGCAAGCAACCGGCCCACTTCCTCGATGGCTCTCTTGGGCCGTGAGAGGGAACAATAGCGGAGAATGAAACAGGCAGCATAAAAGAAAGAAAAACAGCAGAGCATCCACACGTGCATTATTGTAAAAAGCGTGTCCTGATATGCTGAACCTGGATGCTGAGCACAATGTTTTTCTTACTTCTAACGATATCTAGAGGTCTTTTTATTATCACTGCATCACAAAAAATGGTTGTGCTGATACAGAAGTGCCGACTAAGGAGGACAAGAAGAAGACTATTTGCGGACGTAGCCGGTGCACATTAAATATTATTTTGAATTTTTTTTTGCAAAAATTGGATGTGTTGTTAAAATCATTTACTGTGTTTCTTAGAGATGGAGGAGCAATGTTAGCAATTTTAAACTTTGATTGTATTGATTTTACCGTTGGTTACCTAAGATTATTATTCTTACTAACTGACAAATGTTCATCTAGCTACAATTCTACAATTCACTTAGCAGACGCTTTAATCCAAAGCGACGTACATCAGAGAGTAAGAACAACACAAGCAAGGATCTAGAAAAAAGGGAACAATGTGAGTAAGAGCAAACGATCAGCTTTGAGTCTGATTGGACACACAGGTGCTGACAGGAAGTGACCAGAGGCAAAGCACAACATTGAGGGCAGTTCTTGAGAGCTCTAATCAGTATAGAAACCATCTTATAAGTCGTCGTTATCAAACAAAAACCATCGTCATTACCATCATCATCATCAATAATATGGAGACCATCATCATTAAGTTAGTAGGTATTCATGAAAGAGCTGGCTCTTTAGCTTTTTCTTAAAGGTGCAGAGGGACTCTAGCTGTTTGCTCTCTTCAAAGCCACCAAACTCCAATCGGAATAAAACGTTATTTTACTTTGCAACACGCAGGACTTGCTGGTCTACCGCTGCATCAATCGGTTGTTTACTTTAAACAGTTGAAATTGTGGAGTGTACCTTTAAGACATACTGTGTTGCTAAGTAACTAGGGGAGCGATGTCCCTAGACGGCGCCTTGTCTAACCTCAGGAAGACCCCCAGCCCCCCGTCCCATCTGACAGGGATAGTCTCCCCTTGTTAGCACAATAGTTAGCACAAAATATATCATTTGAGGCAGCTGTAGAACAGCAATTCCCAATTTTTTAAGAAGTAAATGTCAATGTTTTGTCAGCGGAGTCTCGTAGCTTTCAAAGGACGCACAATTAACAACTTACAAAAAACATAAACTCTAAGTAAATCTTCCTTTCCTCTGCATTTATTTCCTCCTTAAGATGAAAGCATTCATTTATCTAATACCATTAAGGACTTTCTCTTTCTGTTCAACAGTCTTAAAAAAAGCCACTTCAGTGTCATTACGGCAGCACGCACGATACAAAGAACCTGGAGACCGAAATGGAATTCAGCCTCAGTTCATTTCAGCTGATATTTCCGGTGAAGAAAAGGCTTCCTATTTGATGTAAAAAAAAAAAACAACATGTTTACGATAAACACCGTCATTACTGCAGAGTCTAACACAGAGTCACTTCCTCACCTGCACACACGTTTAGTCCTCTGGGCACTCACCAGACTACAAAGGCACTGTGGCAGCATACCAACACACTGATGTTTATACCTGTGTATCCTCACACACACACACACTCACACACAGGTTGGGGCGGGGCCGCCTCAGGGCTCCGCTGTAAGTGTGTGATTAGAGGAGAGAAAGTCAGAGGCAGAGGAGAATCGAGGACACACTCACCCCTGTTAAGGTCTTTATGTTGTGCAGTGCATTCTGGGCTTCAAGGGCAGCTTTCCTTGTGTAAAACGTGACAAAACAGCAGCCTGGGGAGAGAGAGAGAGAGAGACAGAGAGAGAGTGCAGATGAGCATAAGGAGCAACAAAGAGCGTCTTCTCTATTCATCCGCCTGGCATCACCTGTCGACACTGGCAAGACGCTGAGTGAATGTTAAGGGCGACACATCGTAGTGGAGACGGAGAGAAACGCTTTTTGGATTTTTTGTTTCAACGCTGATGACTTGAGCCTGGAGCAGCAGCACACACACACACACACACACACACACACACACACACACACACACACACACACACACACACACACACACAGAGACAGAGACTGAGGAGGAAGACGAGCCTCTTCATTAATCCTTGAGTAATCTTTGAACAGTCACTAACTCACTCGTTCGGTAAAGAAAGGATTCAGTCATTTATTTATTGCTCGCGCTCGCTCACTCGTTCGCTCACTGGATCGTGTCTACAAGGGTGATTAAGTCTCTCTAACTAATTCAAAGACTCTAACTTCTATTGATTTGGTGATTCACATGTCAAAAGACATCTACAAGTTCGGGCTAATGATGAGCACACTTCCTGAAAAATAAAAACATGTAAGTTCCGATATAAACATGCTTTCAGTGGCGTATTTTGACAACATTTTGATGTCTTCAAACCGGCAAGACTTCCCCCTAGACTACCCCCCAGGTTTCAGGTTCTGAATTGCACCCCAGGTTTCTCTTCCAATGTAAAGGAGGCGTCTTTTTTTGTTAGTCGGCAGCTGCAGACCAGCTTAAAAAAAAAAAAGACAAGGCTGCAAGAAATTATCTGCAGACAAAGTCTACCCATCAAAGAACAACAACTAACAACTGACTACTTACAGATAGTTATTCTAAGTGAAACAAAGACTAACTAAAAGTGTGTTTTTCAGAAGGTAATATATGGATCTTTTTACACATTTGTGGATCTGTGTACGCATATTCAAATAGTTTTGCCACAATAATAGCTCCATAGTAATATCCTCTAATCTAAGCCAGAACCAGCTTTAGTGTAAAATCCTGAAAAACCTCCAGAGTCACCACTGACAAACACTGCAGAGCACAGTTGTTGTATTTCTACCTCTTCCTCAATAAGTTCATTTTTTTGTGTTCTTGTGGGTGTTTTAAAATGAATCTTACTCCATTTTATCAAGACAATAACTCACAGAGAAAGGGTTCAAGGTCGAGGTAGACGGGTAACTCCTGTGTTCTGCAAAGAATCATGACTCATCTGCCAATGGAGTTTTGTAGCTTTTGAAGAGAGCAAAATTAGATTCTGGTCCTGAATGGTGTTTTGTTTGGACCAGAGAAGGTAGGCGGTTTTAAGGTGACCCCCCACACGGCCGTTTTGGACGCCCCTTGGTTTGTCAGATATGAGAGCAGTTATCAGGTCAACAGGTGTTGCAGCGATGGAAGCGGTCAAGAGAAGTGGTTCAGATAGAAGTGATTGTACCCGACCTAAAAAGCCTCTGCATGTTTCTAATAAGCTCCACGAGCAGAAAGCTCCAAGAGTTAGCTCCTGTGTCACACTGACTTATAATAAAAAAATAAAAGGCAATTTGTTCTGCTAATTAAGCTACAAACAAAATGTTTTCCAACTTTAACCCCCGTTTAACCTCCTCTGCAAACTCGCAAATGACTAAATCAAACCCCGCTAATTTGCCTGCTCACTAAGTCTCTCTGTAGATGCACTGCGGATCCTTGTGCACACACGAGAAGCACGGCCAAGAAAGTCCAAAGGCACAGAGGCAGAGAGAGAGAGAGAGAGAGAGAGAGAGAGAGAGAGAGAGAGAGAGAGAGATTTTGCCTTCTTCATTAATCTGTGTGTAATCCCTGCAGAGTGGGGCTGAAACGCTGCAGTCGTGGGGCCATTTTCAGTCAGCGTGCAAAAAGCTGCAGAGTCAGGCTAAAAACCAGCGGGGGGGGGGGGGGGGGGGGGATTCAGGCCAGACACAGAGGTGTGACTCTGCCCTCTTTTTCTGAAACAGCAGCTGTGGTTTGAATTTTATTTAAAAAGTCACAGCTTGATCTCTCGTCTTTTTGACACGATTATTTAACAGCCGAGGGGAAATAAAAAAAAAAAAAAATGGCCAACGATGTTTGATGGATATTAAAATAAAGGAGATGAGCTCGTGAGTCAGCTTGAAGAACAAACAGGGACGCCTTGAGATTCACATCGCACCATCGGGCACAACGTCTTTTTTAAATGATGGCATGACCTTAAGCACGACATCAATCAGACGGTGAAGCTCAGATCTTCACTCTGCAGAGGCCGACAACAAGAACATAAAAAAACAAGGACAAAGGAATAGAGACATTTTGCCAAAGATCCTTTTGAATTTGGAGGAAGGAAATTGTGACTACCCGCAAATCACACACCAACCGAACGTGCAATTTGTTGGAGAACACACCTTTAGTACTCTTTACATGATC